CTGACGAAGTCAATTAAGCCCTTTTGTAACAAGAAACACTGGCAGAAGTGGGAGCGCGCCGGTGACGAAAGGCGAAGTGGTGGGTGTTCGTTAGAAGGGCCACGCAGACAAGTCGGATTTGCGACTATCGTCGCGGCACCGCGCGACGCTCTTCTCCCGTTGTTGCCAGCGGCGTTCTTTATCGTGGCAATTAACGTCCTTCAAAAACCAATACCCTTTCCGATTGATTTTCCTAGGTGCAAGAATTTCACCGCGGCCAAGAGGATCGGGACGCCGGGAAATCCCACGCCCGTACGTATGCCGCACGCACATCCGGAAACCTTCCGCCAGTTTATTCATTACATTTACACGGGAAAGGTAAATAGTTTTGTTCAGATTCGTTTGTAATGTTTACAGTATTCGTTGAGATAAAAAGTACCATTGTAGCTTTCAAACTAAGGGGTGAATATTTTAATGAAATTATTGTGTTAGAAAATCTATGGTTTTAACAGGAATTGGAATGTAGTAGCCATGTTTACTTCCAGATGGAAATTTTATCGTTTTTACCTGGGATGTTAGGCTTATGAATTTACTTTGTTATAGGTATGTTGTGATAAATATTGTAATCTACTGATTATAGATTATATTTTAGGAGTAACTAACTTTATGTTTCTTATGATTTTTGTGAAATTTTTCTTTCATCCCTGTAGTTTCAAAGATATTAAACGGTTGCAGTAATCGTCTACTCGCGAATAAAACATCACCGATGAAAGTTTCACGTGGCCCCTTCAAAGATGCGACCGAGATTCAACCAGTAACTTTTCTGTAGATCATGCTACAGGACAGTGGCATCTTTGAGATGCTGGGACTCGCCCAAGAATTCGGAGTTGAGGAACTTTGGAGAAGTTGCGAGGAACACGTCTCTGCCACTCTCAGCCCTGGAAATGCGTGTGCTCTTTTGACTGCAGCCCTAGATGCTCAAGACCGAATCCCCGGTAAGTTATTCATGGCATCCTGTTAAAAGTTCGAGCATCAAACAATTCCTATTGTCGAAGTTGCCGATTCGGTTTCCTTCGAGAAACGTCACGCGTGAAACTTGAACTATTTGCTGTATACTGGCTTCAATGGTTATATACGTCAAATGTTAAAAGTTCCTTGAGTTTCTTAATATAAAATCGTTTTTAAACATGCTACGGTAAGTACAATTGTGTAGATCTTCCTTTTCGACATTTACTTGCACGTTACTTTGTTGTTTCTTTCAATAGTTATTGAAAAAAAATAATAAATTTTCTTAGGTCAAAAGGTATGTTTTTCTTAACAAGGAGACGTTAATGTAAATATTTTATTTAAATTTAAAAAGCATCCTTGAACTACAAACGCTTAGTTACCGACAGTTCCATTCGTGGTTGGCATGCTTGCCACTGAAGCAGCACATTATAGGGAGATTTTCCATTATCATTGTTACCAAAGATGCCAACATTCAAACATTTGTCCCTATAGATCTATTTCTAGATGTTAGCATATCTACAAAGAAGATTCTATCCTTAATGTCTCTCTAATTTTTCCCTTTCTGATAAATTTTCTGCCTTGAAACTTCTCTCGAGACTCGGGGCTGAGCTTTTTAAGTACGTAGCGACTAGTAACTGAAAATACAGTTGGTACCACAAAGACGCCACATCTTCCGGCGTCCGGCGTTTACAAAGCACGCGTTTATCGAGCGTTGCCTTCTGAATTTTTGAAAAACCACAATAAAAATGTCGTATAAGGGACCGCAGAAAGTTCAAAAGGTGATGGTACAGCCCATCAACCTTATATTCCGGTACCTTCAAAACCGTTCGCGTGTGCAAGTTTGGTTGTTCGAGAATATCAACCTTCGCATTGAGGGACACATCGTCGGTTTTGACGAATACATGAATTTGGTATTGGACGACGCTGAGGAGTATCATTTGAAGACGAAAAACAGGAAACCACTGGGACGTATTATGCTCAAAGGCGACAATATAACATTAATACAAAATACGAATCCAGGGGCAAATTAAATTTCGCCGAAGATCCTAACCTCATGGGACATTTTCGAGATAACAACAAACGTATTTTTTGATGTCTCGTGTGAACATCACGCGCGTGAACTGTATATGAGACAGAAGTGATGTCAAAGAACATTAGCCGAGGACAATGTTGACACCTTTAATGCTGTACATGTGATGCGCGAGGATTAGGATGAAAAATGACAAATTGATTAGTACAAATTGTCACTGACTGTCGCTGTCATTTGAAAATGATAATATTGTTCAGTAATGAAGTTGTAATTAGTTTCTACATTTCAAGGAATCTAGGAAATTTGTACTTTAGGAACTATTTCAAGAAATAACTACGATGCTCGTTCTGTTTACACAGACAATATCAAACTGTATTCCATTTTGTACTATTGTTTATCCTCTGTAACAACTGTAGCTGTAAATAATTCATGATAAAACAGTTATTGTAAGACATGTGGAATTGACCTGTGCTTAATAAATATTTTTGAACTATAGTGTATGTCTTGATGATAATAATTTAATACATCTCCTAAATAAATGTTGTAAATGTAAGTATATAAGTAGTTCCCTAGTTGTAAAATCTAAGAGGACTGCACAATAAAACAACTATATATAATTCGAAGGCTGCTGTAATAACATGATAATAGAAAATTAAATAAATAATTATAACGATATTTCCTTATCACAGGTGGTAAGGGTGCTTGTTCATCCTTCATCGAAAGATGCTTTGCATTCATCGGTGAAAATGCTGTGGACACAGTTAAAACAACAGCGTTCTGTAACCTTCCAAAGGATGCTTTGGTCAAGCTGATATCTTCAGACTACTTGGGCCTGGAGGAAGAGGATGTGTGGAGGGCGGTTCTGAATTGGGCTAAATATCAGGTTCTTTCTTCATCAGAATTCTATTCCGTTTCCGAGTACTTTGAATCCCTTGAATTCCAAGAAGGCTTTTGCACTCTGAGCACGCCGTATGTCGTGTAAGGTCTCAGACCCTATGTCGCATACGATTATTACCGGGTCCTTGGGTCCTTAGGTTCTTGGATCGGAATTTAGAATTACGAGTTAAGGAACGCTTAACCGTACGGACCACGCTCCTAGGCAGGGGTGACGCAGCCTACGCAACACTGGACAGAGGAGGAACGTGTGAGGGTTTGCCAACATTTATCGGGGGTGATAAATCATGTACGGCTGCTGCTAATCGACAGCCAGGTGTTCGCGGAGGAAGTAGAGCCGACTGGAGCAGTGCCAATAGAGCTATCCTTGGAGAGGTACGAATTTTTCAATCCCGATCGATCAAGCGGCTCAAAATTCCTAAGGTACGGTTTGCCGGGAAATGGTCTCTTTCTCGGAGGCTTTCGATCTTTACGTTTTGTTTTAGGTATAGGTATGCAGCGTTGCCGAACAAATACGCGGAGATTTGTGCAGACAAACGGCTTCAGCCGAGAGTCAGCCCATTTCTCTTCCCTGGATCGCAAATCCTCTCTCGTGATAAGATGGGCTTCCAGCGTCTACTGAACCAGTGGTATGGATCACCAAAACAGAGCTGGCGCTTAGTGTACCGGTAGGTTTAACTTGTAGTTTCAGCTAACATATAGTTGTTTGTAGGGAGTTTAACCCCCTGCCGTACAATGACGCGTCAGACTCAATCTTGTTCATTCCTTACGGATCAAAACGAAAAACTATTTTGCTGTTATCAATGTATTATCTTCAAATGAAATTTCCACTTAAAGTAGAACAGAAAATTTTGTTACACTGCTTCTAAATTGTCGATAGTAAGATGCTACACGAGCTCAGTAGCGAAAGCAAATAATATAGCAATGGGTTAAAATAGTCTAATTAAATAATTTGATAATTTTTGGCTTTTGCAACAATGTCTGTGGAAACCGTTTGACATTCGATTACGACCTCCTTGAAGAATTTCTTTAAAAATGTCTCATTCTATATGGCAATAGGATAACATTCTACGTATTGATGTCTTTCAGAGCCTCTAGTCATGGTTACTCGGCAACATCGTTTCACCGGCACTGCGATGGAGTTTGTCCAACATACGTAATTGCACTGGTATGTAATTTCATTTTTGATGTTATTTTTTCCTCAAATTTTGAGCAATTTAAAGTTGTTGTTTGATGGAATTCAGAATAGAAAATTCTTGAATGTTTTAGGGAACTAGAGGAGAAATTTGTGGTGGTTTCAGTGATGCACCCTGGGGCAAAACAAATGCTAAGGGACATTACATTTTCTCAGAGAAAGCTTTTCTGTTCACCTTGACAAACAATCAAGATGTACCTCCCACAAAGTATGATATTGTGAAGAAACCATTTGCCATTTGCTATCATCCAGAGTAAGAATTGTTTTTTTATTTAACCTAAGTAAAATGGAATGTAACAGATGTAATTAAATGTCTAATTCTCTTTCAGTATTGGACCAATTTTTGGCGCAGGAGCTGATCTCCTCATTTCTAGTAATTGCAATGTGAATATGGAAAGTTATAGTAATCTTCCTCACAGTTATGATGGAGAACACGCTTCCAACACTGTCCTCATGGGTGACTATCATTTTTCTGTGGTGGACTATGAAGTATTCACTCCCAATCATCCAGTTCCCAAATCCACTCACTAAGAAATATATAAATATCTTTCCTTTCATAAGTTTGTACATATATAACTGCATGAGTACAACATGAGATGGAAATGTATTATTAAGAATGGAAATACAAAAGTGCAATTTATTGTTCAGTTTAAAATTGAACTAACATTTCAATGTGCACAAGGGATAATTAGCAAAAATATAATTATTATACTTATTAAAATAAATATAGAAGAAAAACTATCTATCTTTGTAATTGGATTTACCATTCTCTAACTGACCGATAAGTGAACGCATGTGAATTTGTAAATTGCTTGATCGGCAAATTGGTTATGTATGCGTTAACGTGCAAATGATCGAAATCGACCGATATTGGCTTCCAATTAAGGATTTGGCTCTGAACGGGATTAAAGTATGCCAAACAAACGCTCGTGTGCCGCATAACAAGTGGAAGGAGATGGTTCGGCACACAGACCGGTTCCCAAGAGGCTTGTTAAATCACGTGTTAAATTGTGAACAGATGTCTTGGAAATCTAATCTGTATTACAGCGACGCGCTCGAAAGTAAACGTGAAATGTGAAAATCCACGGAAAAATGCGAACTACTGAATACGCATTAGTACCGCCAAAGGCGCCGGTGACACGGATGTACGTTCGACAAGTAACGCCATGCCTATTCCACTTACCGTACGCCAAAATTTCAGTGTTTCGCCAGAAAAAACGCACGGCAACTGATCGTGCGTGCACTAATTAAGTATTTCGAACAGAAAACAAGGAAAATCGAGAGGAAGAATCGTTCGGCGCTTTCTTTTAAATTGTCATGTAAAATTCTCTCTTACCTTCCGCGCGCCATGTTCTCCTGGTACGACCAGATACTTCTCCGCCGATTTAAACGACGATTCACGAGTACAGACATCGAAATCGTTCACGGAATTAGAATAATTATAATTATCTTTCGTTTTACTTTCTTTTTGTAATGATTAGTTACTCGATAAATTAGAAAAATTATTCGAACAGACAGCCATTACACGTCGATTAGAAGCCGTTGGTTACAAGAGATTTCGACTTGAAATTAAATGAATACCGATGATTGGAAACTTTTGAAAACATTAACGATAAGAACTTGAGTAATAATGAATCGATTGATGTCACTTGAATACACTAAACTTCGATAAATAACGAATATTTTTGTAAAAAATCTAGAGCACAATGCACTTGCTTTAAATTACTTGCAAAACTAACTGACGGTTACGCGTCGTTTCTGCGCATGCGTCTGCGCATATCTTTTCCGCGAGATCTGCACATTGATCATGTCTCATTTAAATTCAAATTTCACGAAACGATGAATACACGTTTTAATAAAAATATTGTTTCATGTTTAATCTTGTTTGCATGCACTCGTGAACAAAAGGAATTTATTCATCGTATGTGTTAAGTGTGATCCTTTCATTCAACTATCTTTCGTTCTTCTTTCTATTCTTTATTTATATTAAATTGGTCCTGAACATTGATTGCGTCTCTTTAAAACGAAACCTCTGATAATTATATTTAAATACAACAATTAAAATTGAAAATGTATCTAAGGTTTTTGTATAAAAATTAACATATTTATTTCTCATTTTTGTTCCAATTATTCATCAAATATCAACATCCACTAAATTCCGCGAACATCAGAAATTTTAAAATCTAACGGCCGATTTGATTTTCGCATTATAATCGAAATCCGAATGGACTGTAATTCTAAAAAAAATTTCTTTTCCTCATTTCTCTCGAAATTTATATAAGAAATAGTCGACATGATACGTCTGCCTAGTTTCGCGCGTTAACTAGTTCAGCGTGGCAGTGTGTGGCTTCCGTAATTCTAATGAATCGCTAATCCTACAATTTAATGGTCGATGCGTTACAGGTGTGCGCTGAAGTCTCAACGTGCGTCGGTTTCTTGGCCAGCCTAGATGTCGATACGTGTGATTCCAAATCATTCCCGAGCAAGGCACAAAAGATCGATGGGTTTGTACTTTACTTGCAGGATAGCGTGGCTTCGTAATCGTCCGTCGGTCTAAAAAAGAGTTTATAGCAACGTGTACGCCGAGATTCGTATTTAATGTATAATTATACTTCTATTTTTAATTCGCAAAGTGTGGTCGGTGATCGATTTATAAAATTATTTAAAAACAACGAAATATACTGCTCAGGATAATTCGGGGATCGTTTTATTATGTGCATGATAATCAATATCCGATAGACTTACTGCTTAATATATACTAATTTTTTCTACGTTCGAAGATCTTCTGATTACTCTGAACAGTGTAATTCATTAACCTATGTACAAGTAAGTACTGGCCCGGGTCCCGTTCGCACGTTCGCCTATTAAATACATACAATTTAATCGCTAATAGAGATACTTTTTTACGAATCAAATGTCCTACGATGTCCCCGCACTCGCCAATGGGACATAATTAAATAGTGTACAACCTATAATTGCACGTTTTCGAAGTCTATGTCCGCGATCAACAATAATCAATCCAAAACATAAAATACTGGCCATTTCATTGACTACCTCGTTAACAAAGTGGCTAAACCAAACAGTATGTGTATAGAAAACCAGTAACAGTAATCGTCGTTGCGCCGGGACGCTGGAAACGAGGGAACACACGATCAACCTCGTCGATAACACGTTGAACGCGGATATTCCGTTGTCATTGCTTTATACTTAGGTGTTTTTGTAAACAAGAGTGACAACGAAAAAACTATGCTCTTGTTTAAAATTGTTTTGAAAGGCACCAAGTTCACGACGATATACTTTTTTTAATATGTTATAGTTTATAAAATATTGGCCTTCGAATTTAAAGTGTCCCCGGAGACCGAAGCCGCGCTCAACGTGTTAAACCAAACGCTCTCGGGAAACATACGCTTGCTAATTATTTACAAATTCTATACACAGGCTTATCAGCTTCTTCGCATAACGATGCTCTACGGACCTCAATCTTGCATCGTTTTATCCGGCTGCTTCCACATAAACAGTTTCCAATGAAATTCGTAATGATAACTAGCTACAGAGTATGACGTTGATTTGCATCCGTCATTTCTTCCAGAAGAACACCCAGTGTATTCTTCGTTGCGCCGAAATTGTCATAGGACACTCTTCTCAAGTCTTCTGCCGCCTCGGCGCTAACATTTCAGGGACCGGAGAGGGTCGTCGTCTTCGTGGCGTGTCTTGCTGCTCGTGCTAAAAGCAAATCTGTGTTCGACGAGTCCTAGTCCCAGGCGGCGCGGGTTTGAAGAGGCGGGAAAAGTATCGTCCGCTTGACAAGTAGAATGCGTCTGGGCCGGCAAAAGTAATAGGAATTTCACCGAAAATTCCCGCGGCTCCTGGTATTCGCGCGGACAATGATGGATTCCAAGGGCGAGGCCTATCGGGGATCGCCCCGCGGTTCCCGTATCGGCGGAGATTCCTGGGAATCACGGGAATGGGCTCGCTGGGACAAAAGAGCAGAGAAGAGGCGGCGGATCGGTCGCAGCGACGCGACGGAGGCGTTTACATTGGCAGGCGTCGAACGCTTGTAAGATAAAGCGGCTGGCAACGTTCTACACGTGTACCGCCGGTTTGTAACGCACGTTCCGAACACGTGCACCCCGCAGTTTGACGTGTTTATCAAGGCGCGATGCGCTGCGCTGCCCTCTTCTCCGCTTGCAGCGTGAGCGCGTCACCGGCTCCATCGCGCGATCGCCGCTAGAGAGAACCGACTCGCGCGTGATCGTTAATTAAACCGGAGGACTCTCGTTAAAGTCGATTGGCTTTTGCGCAACAGCCGGCCATCGATCGGCGACTCGCGATCCCCGCGCTGTGATTACCCGGAATTAAGACGTTAATCCTTCATTCTTCCCTCGACCGGTCGCGGCTATTTACGCGGGACCGTGCGGATCACGTTTAACGATTCGGCACGAATGATTTGTCGCTGAGATCCCGCGCGACGGTCGCCGCGATTCTCCCGCCCCTCCGCCTATGAGCAATTCCAGCTCAACCGGAATGCAATTAACGATATATATATATATACCGGCGGTGCTGTTCTGGGAATCTCGGTCGACCATCGAGAGTCTTCTAATTGACGTTCGATGATCGGCAACGCGGAGGGGATACGGAAAACGTAATTGATTACAATATCAAGTATTCGATCTCGTGCGCGCCCTATTTGGAAAACAGGCGGCTTTCTTTCGGGCCGACTGCTTTCTGCTTTTGTAGAAACAAAGTTATGAATGTAAACGCACCGCTGGGTCTCTTACGAGGGTTCGAATGTGAATGCTCGCTGAATCTCTTACGAGAATTTAAATATCAACTCCCAGATGGGGTTCATGCGAGATAGAGAATGTGGGTTCGATTGGTTCCCTTACGAAAATTCAATTTTTCTTATACAAGAAAGAGAACGTAGATTCTCAATTCCAACTTTTACGAGAATTTACATAGGAACTCCCAGATAGGGGTTCATACGGGATAGCGAATGTGGGTTCGATTGGTTCTCTTACGAGTATTCAATTTTTCTCATACAAGAAAAAGAATTTGGATTCTCAATTACTTCTTTCACGAGAATTTCAATATGAACTCCTAAATGAGGTTCATGCTGGATAGCGAATGCGGGTTCGATTGGTTCCCTTACGAGAATTCAATTCTTCTCACATCAGAAAGAGAACGTGGATTCTCAATTTCATCTTTCACAAGAATTTAAATATGAACTCCCAGATGGGGTTCATACGGGATAGCGAATGTGGATTCGATTGGTTCTCTTACGAGAATTCAATTTTTCTCATACAAGAAAGAGAACGTGGATTCTCAATTTTATCTTTTACGAAAATTTAAATAGGAACTCCCTGATGGGGATTATGCTGGATAGCGAATGTGGGTTCGATTGGTTCCCCTATGAAAATTCAATTCTTCTCATATAATAAAAAAGAACGTGGATTCTCAATTGCTTCTTTCGTGAGAATTTCAATATGAACTCCCAAATAGGGTTCATGTTGGATAGCGAATGTGGGTTCGATTGCTTCTCTTACGAGAATTTAATTCTTCTCATATAAGAAAGAGAATTTGGATTCTCAATTGCTTCTTTCACGAGAATTTAAATATGAACTCCAAGATGGGATTCATACGAGATAGCGAATGTGGGTTCGATTGGTTCCCTTACGAGAATTCAATTCTTCTCATATAAGAAAGAGAATTTGGATTCTCAATTGCGTCTTTTATGAGAATTTAAATATAAACTCCCACCTGGGGTTCATTCGTGGAAGCGAGTGTGGATTCTTAATTAGTGTCCTTTTGAGAACCTAAATTCGAACTCCCGACTGAGGTATATACAAGGCAGCGACTGTGGGCTATCAATTATTTAAATCCGAACTCTCGGCCGGGGTTCATATGACGAAGCGAATGTGAGCTCAATTAGTTTTCTTACGAGAATTCAATTCTTCTTATATAAGAAATAGAACGTGGGTTCTCAATTGTATCTTTTACGAGAATTTAAATATAAACTCTGAGCTTGGGTTCATACGTGGAAGCTAATGTGGATTCTTAATTGGTCTTACGAGAACCTAAATTCGAACTCCCGATTGAGGTTCATACGAGGCAGCAACTGTGGACTCTCAATTGTTTCTCTCACGCGAACTGAAATCCGAACTCCCGGCCGGGGTTCATACGGGGAAGCGAATGTGGATTCTCTATTGTTTCCCTTACGATATGGTAATTCTTATATAAGGAGGGAAACGGGGATTTCCAATTGTACCTTCTACGAGAATTTAAATTCGAACTGCCGGCTGAGGTTCAGACGAGGAAGCGAATATGGGTTCTTAACTAGTTTTCTTTCAAGACCTAAAACAAGGGCATCGTTAAATGTTCCTTCTCTAGGATCTTATTGTTAAGTCAATCGGAGCGGGCTTCTTTTTTCGCGGCGGACTGCCCGTATCACTCATGTTTCCCATATTCATTTCATCGTCTTCGTCGAAATCCTCCTTCGCGGGGGAGGTCAATTGCTTCATTGACAGGTCCATCGGATTATCCTGCGGCGGTGGACTGTCCGGTTCAAGTTCCGGGCTGTAGGCCGGAGAATCATCTTCAGAGTGCTTCGTGGATCCTGAAGGACTCTCTGTGTTTGACTGTTGGCTCTTCAGCACCGCGTCTAAGTAAAATCTTTTAGTACTCGCGTCATCAGTTTCTGCGTTTGGGGAGGACGTTCGCACCGTGGTTTGCACGTTTTGATTGTGAGCGTAACTGTCGTTATTGTTATTGTACTCGCATGATTCCTTGTTTTCAATTTCGAGCATCGTGTTGGTGGTGGTTGTTGCCGAAGCAAACACATTAGGCACTTCTTCGATCACTGGTGAGTGATGCATGAGGCTCGTAGGGTGGTTATGTACCAAAGGGTGAGGGTTGCCGTGAGGTGGATACAGATGATATGGAGAGAACATATTGAGATTCGGTGGTGGCAGGAAGGCTGGAGGTAAAAGGGGCATTCCGCCCAGGTGGAATCCTAGAGGCAAGTTCGTCATCATCTCCTTGCTCAGCGCCGACAAGTCAGCCACGGAGGGTTGCAAATGGGAATGCAATGGCCGGTATCCTGGATGTCCCGAGTACGTCGCTCGTCTTTCCGACATCTCTATCGAACTGTCGCTGTTGTGTGATTCAGGCGAACTGATACTAGGCGATGTTGAAATCTTGTAGTCGTCTATGCCTAGCATCAGAACTTCGTCCTTCCGTTGCCCAATATGCATACCTAAAGGCGGGCTTATAGGTTTGAGTTGTGGCTGGAGTAACGGTTGAGTAAGCATGCTCGACTGATAATGTTGCTGCTGATGTTGATGCTGCTGCTGTTGTTGCTCTTGAAGAAGACAGTGTATTTTAAACCAGTTCGATCTGCGACCGTACCTCGAACCAGACTTGGACATGCCGACCAGGAGACACTTCCTGAGCCGGCACGCCTTGCAAGTTGTTCGATTTTTCTTGTTGATCACGCACTCGCCGCCATTCTTGCAGTCCGAGATGCTACTCAGGTTGTTGTAAGATCTCCCGAAGAACGACTGTAACAAATCAAGAACACGGTTCGTTATTGCTAATGCGGTAATTAAGGTGACATCGTTCCACGGAGAGGGACACAGTTTACTAGCGCTTTAGATGTAAATTGAGAGCTCAAACGTTCAGCAAAAGACCCGGCAGCGGCGAAACGCGTGACGGGTACACGGAGACGAGCAACCGCCAAGCCGCGCCGCGCCGGGTTGGTAATAGCGGCCCGCTCTCGTTGCGTCTCATTCATGTCGCGGGCCGGTGTGGGCGCGTGCGGCCTACTGTGCCCGCGCTAATTGCCCAAATGGTGCAATTCCATGATTCCGACACCGGCGCGGTGTGGCTTTCGTGTTCTCCGTCGCGGAGAGTCCCCTTTCATTCGCATAAATTCCCACGTCATTCGCCTCGAGCCGCGTTCCGCCGCGAAATCAATTGCGCGCTCCACCGAAAAATACCTCTCATTCCATCGGAGGGCATTACGATCGCCCAGGCGGCTATCCTAAACTAGATAAGACTGAGAAATCTCAATGCGCAATATATTACGAAACCCCCGCGCGATTTAAGACCCAGTTTCCTTTATAACAGGCATCGCCGGGGAACCGGCCCCGATGGAGTTCACGCGCGCTATGCGTTTAGCGGCCCTCGTACGGCCGCTCCGGAACACCTACAGCTTCCTGTGCAACCCGGCCGGAAAATTCTGCCCTTCGCCGGCTAATGACCGGGCTTTTGGAGGACGGAGACAGGAGTAACGCGTGGTCGCGCGCGCGTTCGCTTTCGCTTTTTCTACTCGTACGCGCGGCTATATTATTAATCGTTTCTGGTTCGTTTGTCCTGAAAACGAGCTCTTCCTGCGGCCCAGTGGTCCCGATGCGCGGCATGCGTCGCGGGGGCCCACGGGCCCCGCCATCGCGTTCCACTTGTTCCTGTCGCGTCGTTCGCCGGCGTTGTCGTTCTCGTCTTGCTCGCGTTTCGAATGTCTTCAAACATCGGGCCCGGGGCCGAGAGAAGCGGCAGGGCAACCCGCGCGTCGCGCGACTCTACAGAAGCGATGACACAATCGAGAAAATGCCACTGTTATTACGTATCTCGGATGGGTTGACTCCGTCTCCCTTCTTCCTAGCCGGTCGCGCGGCACACGCTCCACGGATTATGCAAACGGGCGCAACAACAGCGCTACGAAGCACCGGCGCACCGGTTGCCTTTTCGCAGTCGAACCTTCCAGCGATTGTTACGGTTTCCTTTCGAAAACTCTGACCCGCCGATAAATAGACCGGCTAATTACGCCACGGTGAACTTTCCTGGTGCAAAGAAACGTGTCTCTCTGACTCACGTCGCGGACGGCGGAAAAAATCACGCGGAAAAAACCGGACCGCGGGCAACACGAAATTCCCCTCGCCATCTTGATCATGCGGATAATGAACCGTTGTATCGATTTTCTGGCTTTTTACTTTAAATTGTGGCGCGATTCGACAAATCGCTGGATCGAGGGCTCCACGGTTCCAGTCAAGGACTCGAACCGGCGACGACGCAGCGGCTCGCGCGTTCTTCGAGTTTCACCTTTACGATGGTACTTTAATCGTGGGACAGATCTACGGGAAGACATTGCAGGCCGTGCTCGAGCAGCACGTGTGCGCGTTTCGTCAATTCGCTCGTACGGGGAGCCCTGGTTCGAGGCGGTGCTTCCGGCGCTTCGCACTTGTCTGCCACAATTGTTTCCGCCCTAGTTCACCATTACGTCACCTCGACATTGTTTCGTTTCGTTATTTTCGTTTTCAGGCCCATCGTAGCATGTCAGCTCCCCCTTGCTCGTCTCGCTGCCCCTCCCCCTCCTCTGCCCGCTGCATTGTGCGGCCCCGTTCCTCTTTACGCTCCACTCGCGGCCCGTACGAGTCACGGAACGCGATGTATTACGAATTCGATTGCGAATGAAGCTTCGGATACTTCGAGATTGACTTTGGGAGGACAAGAGGAAATGGTTTTTAACCGTATTAAGTCCTGAGATATCGTAAATATGTCATTTCTTTTTATTGGGAGATCGAAAAGGAGAATTTATTGTCATTTATTATGTGAGAATTGATATGCTCAGAATTGCTATTGGAGGATTCTACTTTATTCGACGATAATATGAATCCTAAAGGAAGATGCAGGAACTAAGTTGTCGTGTAAATAGATGAATCAGTTAATGCGTTTAAGGTTATTGTGTTTCTGTACTGAACCCGAACCCAAAGTCAACCTCTCGCAATAATTGCCCACCGTTCCAATCTAAATAGGATTACTTTCGGAACTTCAGTTGATACGCATGCCTAGTCAAACGTTTAACCTCGGCCACGAAGCATTTCGTGAAAGCGATCAGTGTTGACGAAACTGCGGAAAAGATCGCCGCGAGCAGCCCGCAGAACGCGAAAGAAACTAGCAAGAAAAATACAAGAAAGAGCATTTTTTCCAGACTGGATCGCCTTACTACGATACTTTAAATCTATCCGGTGATTGCGTTTCGCTGTCGTTCCATTCATCCGACTCCACGCAACCGATCGTCCGAAAAGGGCAAATAAACCCGTAGGATTTTCCTCGCAATCGATCTAGCAAACGTATCCAACCAGCGAAATAAACTTACCTTGCAGCCCTCGCAGGTGAACGCTCCGAAGTGGAAGCCGGCCGCGGGCTCACCGCACACCTTGCATTGTTGGTTCATCTGCAACAGAAGATAATGGCTTTGTCTGAATTCGGTTTGCGCGGTACTAAACGCGCCCGCACTAGTCCCGTGGTCGAGGGCCAAGCAGGCGTTCTTCGAGGATTCGTCATTCGTCGGACGATTATGAGCTTCCGTTCCGGTGGATGACGAAACCGAGGGAAAAGAAAAACTGGCTCGCGGGGAAGGGCGAGCGGTGCGGCGTCGCGTAACGTCAAAGCATATTTCTACGGTTCGACAAAATCACAATGCAGGCGTTATCGTGCGGCCGTAGAGCCGATCGCGCGATTGGGAAAGAGAAGAACCGGGTTGCGCAATGTCGGCGGTACGCGCGAATCGCTGGATCGTGGCAAAGCGGTGCGTGTTACGTTCAACGAGCGGAAAACCCTCGGCGCACTTGCTTCTCCCCCGCTACACGCCCTGGGCCCGATTCCTTTCGCCTTCTTTGGCCACTCGTCCGGAAAACAGATCGCGCGTTCTAGTTTTCACACCTCGCCGATTTTATTCCACCGTGTCCTCCCCCGTCGTCCATTTTGCGCAACGTTCTCGAGGATGCCGAAAATCGAATGGGGAGAAGGGGCGCTCTCGAGGAGCCGATCGGTCGTGAAACTACTCGACGATACAGTTTTTACGACCGCCTCTGCACCGAGAATTCTAATGAGGCCCTGGAATATGGGACAATAGTACTGACCCACATACGTAGCCCGAGGGTACGCCGTGTCACCTGCGGCGACTTTCATACATGACAGACTGTCGCTAAATGGGAAAGTAAATCTCAGCTAATGGAAGAGACATCGATTGTTTGATCAACGGAGTCTCTCTTTCCTGACCTACACCCCACAGTCGTTGACTCTTCTCATTCGCGGACGATCGGTGCCGCGGCGTGCCTACGCATACTTTTAATTCCGCGTTCGATTCCTTTTTCTGTTTCTCTGCATTCCTTTTTTCCCGCTCGGTCTTGGAGAAATAAGTTGGAAAGTTATTCTACGTAGTGAACATTAATACGATGATCGTTTGTGGAATTAAGGATGTATCCAGTGGGGTTCACTTCATTTCGGAGTCCAGTGTAACGTATCACTGTGATAGCTTGATAGAATCAGCTTCTGAGAAATGGGTTTCTAATCTTCTTGCTTCGAAATTTCTTCTTTCGTCAAATCATTAATAAGAGAGTGATCTTTTCAAACGCGATCAGAGCGTAAAATGAAGTTTAAGACGATGTAATAAAATGAAGAATACGAAGAACATTGTTGCTCGGCATCTTCTATTGAAAATTGATATCCCAGAGATAATCTTGCAAAACTGATATCCTCTTCATCTTCCTACGAAGTAAGTCATTCTTCACGTCCACGTAGCATTATCCGAAACGTTCGAAGCTATCGCCAGTTCCCAAACGAAGACGAAGAAAGAGAAAAGATTATGGCAACGCGATTGCTTCAACAGTATTTTCGAATCGAGCGGAAAAACTGGCGTATCCGTGCGATGAGGCAATGGTCGCGGTTTGCTCGGTGGACCTCGACGGATTGCCCCGACGCGGCGCGAAATCGAGCGTTGCCGTGAGGTGGAAAGAGAGAGCGTCGGTTAATTGAATTTAAATGACGACGTATTCTCGTTAAATACTGCCCGAGGGCTCGGTTGATATTTCAAGTGGGGGAGAGAGAGGAGAATCTCTCCCTAGCGTCTGGTTTGGGCTCGGCCCAGGAGGGATTGTTCATCGCGCTATTAATTACCGATAGATGTTGGCGTGTCGATAGTCGTGGCAACGACGACAACGACGACCACGACGATAGTACGCGCCCGGCGTATCGCAACCTGCACTGATTGCAGGTGTGCATCCGGCGAGCCATTCAGGGGGTGCCTGCATGCTCGAGCGTGTTTCACGTCGACGCGGTTGCAACGTGCTTTAAAGCCATATTGTTACGGTTGCGTGTCGCAACGCGTACGCGTACCGGTGATACCGTGGAGTTTACCGGCTTAATAGAATCGACGACGCGCAAAAGAATGATAGATGATTCAATGTTCCCGCCGGCCGAGCTCCCCCTTCCCCCACCCCGCTAATAAATGACTTTTAATTACGGCCTCTCCGCGGGCACAATAAAACGGTTGATTAATTAACCCCGCGCATCGTTCGCGCCGACGGCCCGTGTTTAGGAGTTACTTAACGGGACGCGCGGCCTCCGCGTCGCTAATGATCGTAAAATATTGGGACGATAATTATTTCTAATAAATCCCGGCGATTCCCGCGACCGTTCTGCGATCGATCATCGCTCGGCGAAGAAAAGTGAATCCCGACGGAGAAAGTCGGGCATTCTTTACGCGAACGGTCTTCGATTCTCCTCCTGGTGGGACGACAGTCGATCGATGGATTTTCCTGCGATTTCGAACGTAACGATCATCGTCGCCGGCCGATCGCCACGAGGCCGCCGTTCGAACCGTGTGAATCGCAACGACTCCGGTCGGCTCGTTACTTTCAGCGACTCGATCGGCTCTCCCCCGCCCTCGCCGCGGCTCTCCTCGATCGTCGGCCGATTCCTCGGAAAAAGACACTCGGCGGGGACGGGCGAAGCTC